TACGAATCAGCCCAAGCATCACATTCCATGGCATTTCCTATTGCCGTGTAACCCAGTGGTGAATGGATCCACCGGCAGCAGTCAAAGTATGCAATTTCATGCGTGTAAATCCCATATAGTTCTACTGAAAACGTTGTAACTCACCTGTAACCTTATTACTACCAACACAGCTGTGGTCCCAGCCATCTTGAACCCTGCATACGAATCGGCCCGAGCTTCAAGAGTCTCGAAAACTCAACCTTACCCAAACAACCGAGTCGGACGTACAGTTGCAAGAAGAGCTCCGGCAAGTAAAGGTGCCCTACCTGCTACGAATCCTCCCGATAAGATTTCGGTCCAATGTGGCTTTGAGATGTGGGCCCGAGGCAAATATGCCCCTTCGCAATCGGTCATTCGAAGCAATCAGTTTGTGCTCTGGTCAAATCCTGATTCTTTTCAAGAGCTGATCGACACGCTCTGCAACAAGTTCAATGGTAAAGTGGAACTCCGGACAAAGATGACTGAGGACAGGGAAATGTTTGGTGTTGAGCACTTCAGTTTTTGTCGGTTAGGCACCAAGAAAGGAGGATCTGTTGAAGATTACGAATCGTTTGTCGAGTTCTTAAGGCGGGAAAAGGCGATCGACTTGATTTATGACCGGGACACCTTTGAACGGCACACCCTTGATGAAGAAGAACAAGAAGGAATTGACGCTCAAGCTGCACGATATGCTCTCCGATCAGGAAAGGACACTGAATATCATGAAGATTTGCATTCAGACGCTGAAAGTGACAGCTCTGAATCCAGTCTTCCTTCGACCATTTTCACATCTGCAACCGGTTCAACATCGACCACAACTTTACCCCAGAATCGATCAACTTTACCTCCTCCTCCAAGTCTACCTTCTTTATCATCAGCAACCCGGTCAACTCCAACCACTAATTTACCTCAGAATAAATCACTTGTTCCTCCTCCCTCTCAGCTGGTGGTTCGGAACGACCACGATGAACAGCCAAAATTCTCCTCAGTCATTCAACAAGAGACCAACCCCCATGTTGAAGCCTTGAAGAGAAACTTGGACAATGAACTTGTGATTGTTAGGATCCTCCCACCTTGTAAGTGTCACTATTGTAAATAACCACCTGACTTAAGTGACTAAGAATTTGTTATTAGGGCGAGCCGAAACAATCTTGGATCCAAACAATTTATCATGGGAGAGATTTGGGAGCATGGAGAACTCCTTGTCATACCGAGATGCCGACAACTCTGACTGGGTTGATGGAGTTCGATTCAGCCTGGATCCTGATGGTCTCAACATGCCTCAGAATATTTGTCTCTACCGTGTTAATTATAATAAATGTTTCAAGGTGAAAGAGACAACCAAAATCATAGCAGCCGAGGTTTTTGACTCTGGAACAGTTTTTCCCATGGTAGCCGAATACTCTCGAGTCCGCAAGGATCTAACATGTGATTCATATGCATATGTACCAAACTATTGGCTGAGGACCTATGCGGTTTCCAGGCAATTCCTGGCTCAATTCTGTCAGGCTATAAGTCAGTCGGCAGGTGGGACAATTATTGGGCGGACGGCAAAAAGGTTACGTGTGAGTGTGTCTGCTATTCAAATCCTCTACAAATTTATTGGTCTGACCAACTACCCATCAGATTGTCGATGGATTTCCTGTTCACCATGACATCTTTACTCGACCAAGACATGAGGATAAATACGTTCCTGGTCAGGATGATGATATGTTTGATTCCACTGAAGAACCCAACTACCCTCTCCGGTCCGTCAATATTGACAATGAACCATCTCGAGTGTTCTGGATGGAAGAAGAAATCACCGGCGGCTATACTTGCCTTTTGTCAATTGAAAACGATGTCTACTTCACCGGTGAACCTCGCTCTCCCACCGAATTTTTGCTCCACTCGTTTCAACACTGGGTCTATAATCATACTCGTGGCCAGCTCACCATTCGAAAATTTAAAGGCCACGGTGTGAGAACTCCTTTGGGAATGGTGGCAGTCCTGTGAGGGGGAAATAGCAGATGAGATATATTACGTATGTAATGATCCACTACAACTGTTACGGCTGGTTTGAAAGACCTGCCCCTCTATTGTACTACACAAGAGTTAACACAACAATTTATTTATTGTTGTGGAAAAAACTGATGATAGAGAAAACTATGTGTAGCAGTCTCTTATCAAACCTAGATCAACGTGGATTCAGCAGACTATTTGAGTGGAAATGTTTGAGTAAGAGGTGTTTTTCTGTTTATATGTTTATGTATTTTGAGAAATGATTGACGTATGTACTGATGATGAATGTGAATTTATGAGATGATATTGTGGAAAAAAATGTGACTATTGAAAGTGTCTTTCCCTTCCTCCTT